AATAGCGTTGGAATTTTCTCAACGATCGACGTGAACCGCAAAGAATCCAACAATGTGGTTACGGGGTCACTGGACTCCGACTCTGAATCCCATCGATTGATCTTTTCTTTTCTAACTTTACCCCGTGCATGCTTAGGTTAAATATAATTTAACAGTTTATAAAATTAAATATAATTTATATAGTTTAAATATATGGATTATTTTCATTCTCACGTCTTTGTAAACAAATATACAATGAATTATAGAAAATAATATTCTTTTCATCTAATTTTAAATGAATGTTGGAGCATAATATATTTTATTAGTCTCGGAAAGATAATTTTTTTGATAACATATAATATATTGATATTTTGATAATATATATACTGATCTTATATTACCTTCACTGCTATTTTTCTAGCAAAGAATCGCATTATTTATTATTATATAATGCATGAAAGGTTAACGATGTTTTAATTACATTATTAAATCCTTTCTTTCTAGATATTAATTAAATTTTCTCGATGACGAGAAGTATTATACAGATATAATACTAAAATACTCAACATATTTAAGTTATTGCCCAATTATTATTTACTAGCAATTATCTCTCAATTCTTACATCTTATTTTGATTTCGGCTGATTCTATTAAACAGCTGATCGCACGATGCAAAATATATTGCTTTGTAAATAAATATACTGTTTGAGGAATAGTAGAAGAATAGTGTTGAGTAAAGCTTTATTGCATAAAAAAATTAACGCATCGCATACGAGAGGAGATGCATTTCCAAGAGGAAAATTGCGTAGGTGAGGACATGTATAATGAAGACATATTACTGAAGTTCGTTTGCTTTCGTGTATAGAAATGTTCTTTCGCAAGAGATTTTGCACAACCAAGACTCGATAACAACCAAATTCATAGCATTCGTTTGCTGATCATATTTGAATAAACTCGAGACGTTCCTCTTTCCTCTCTCTCTCTCTCTCTCTCTCTCTCTCTCTCTCTCTCTCTCTTTCATTCTCGTGTCTTTCACGAGAAAATTATGATCTTCTTTGAGCATCTCGATTGAAGTATTGGAACAATCCCGAGGAGACGTTGATGTAAGATCACCAGGTGACGAGAGTTCGAGAATGATGTAACGGCAAGTTTTGCAATGACAAACTATAAAAAAAGGAATACTCGTTGAGATCACTCGATTGTTGAGTATGTGCTATGTCCGCATAGCATTTCTCACATTGAGAAAATTGAATTGACATCTAGAAAAGAGGGATGTAATAAATATCATTAAGACATCGTTAACCTTTTTATCTGTTGCGTTATCTATCCTATAGAAAAAATGCATTGACGAGTATTCAATAATTTTTAGTCTTCTAAACACACATTTAAAAAATAAATATAATTATGGAAATAATATATAAAAATAAATATAATTATAAATATATTACAAATATATTATATAAAAATAATATATATAAAAAATAAATATAATTATAATCTGCTAGAGAAGCGAAAACCCGATTAAATTAACATATAATAGACACTTTTTGAATTGCAATATATATATAATATATTAAGCATGTATTTTCTCAACTATCGATATATTTTATTTTCTATTATTATTTTATTATTTTAATTTTTTTATTATTATTATTTTAATTCTAATATAAAAGAGAAAACTGTTCCAATCTAAATATGTTGAAAGTGAAATGGAGTAAAAATAATACAATAAAATCTCTAAGATTAATTTAATTGTAAAACAAGATATAAGAGAATTACGTGAAAAGGATATCAACAATTTTATTCTCAATTTATCCAATGTATGAATTTATTCGTTATTTCACTTTATACCGGTCTCATTCATTAAAATCGATCATTAAATACACGATGTCTTATCTCGCTAATACGTATTGCCGCTCTCATAACCCATCAACCTCTATTCTGGCAATGAGCTATCAACTTTCGATCTGAACACTCCATTTCACGCGGTATACATTTAACAGGCATTACATCGCGCTATCGCATCTCATGGCACAATACATGTTTTATTATCGTTATTATAATAACACTTACACTTCCATCCTAATTGACGACTACGCGCGAAGGAAATGATTGTCAAAGAATCCTTCTATTGTGGGAGAATGAATCAGATGAATAGCGATACAATGTTCTTCTTCATTTAACTTTTTTCTTATACCAAAACGTGAGCTCCGAGATTTGGTTGCATTGTTTGGACATGTTAAAGTTCTTACGTTCTTCATTTTTCACAGCTGGAGATTTTTCTCATACTCGTTGTCAGTGTTATGGATTCAATGATATATAAATATTAATGATTATTATCCTGCGAAAACGCCGCACATGTAGATTTTCGAGACAAACCAGCTCATTATTTTTAAAAAACAAAGAGTGTATTATAGTCGCGAGGCTCTAATATACGATGGTTAATGAATATGGATGTGCAGTGACTAAATCAGATATTTAGAATTCAAATGACTATTTGTCATGTACTTAGATATACAAGTTTGTCACAAACTAGATAATCAGTAATAAATAATTCAACAATGAATAATCTTTCTAATATAAACTTTTATATAACTTGATGATTTTTAATTATTTTCTATTAATAATTTAAAAATTTATTTTCCCTTATATTTAGCAAATTCATGATTCTATTCATCGTGTATATATATATATATATATATATATATATATATATATATATATATATATTGTGTGTATATGTGTGTGCTTAATTATACAGGTTTATCAAATTAGATAATCAATAATAAATAATTCTGAATAATCTTAATATTATCTTCATATAAATCTTTATGTGACTGAATGATAATTACTTTTGATCAATAATTATTTAAAAATTTATTTTCCTTTATAATTAAGTTGTTTCCATCATAAATAAAGTAGACATCACCTGCAACTATCTCTTACAAGGATTGTTCATTTAATTTCATTGAAATATCATTATTTTAGATTGCAGTTAAATACTGATCATATCTTCTTTTTTTACTGAATATTGATGTGGAAATTTCGTTCTTTGAATAATTTCTTGAAAGCGTATTTGTCAGTTTGAATTTAGGTTACAATTAAATTAAGAGATAACAACTTGATAGCTTTTACAATCATGCAAAGTATTGCTTTCCGAATTAAAGATAATGGCAATTAATTGGAACGATGATCTGGGTGATCATAGAATCGCTTTTACTTGGTCGCTTTATAGATGCATTTTGTAGTGACTGTCGTATCGTTTGATTTTCTAGAAAGTGGTTCGCCTCGCATTTGTCCTGACGATCAATAACAGTCATTAGTAAAACCATCACGAAGCGTCGACGTTTACGTGTCACGCGAAATCAATCCGGAAGTTATAATTCGATTCGCCGTTTACTTTAATCGAATCGAGATAGAACATTGATTAATCGCGAAATAGACAACAATTATAAAATGATTGTTTCACGAGAGAAAATAGAATTTCTAATAGTTAACATATAATAATTTTTGTCTAATAATTGATTAAGAAAGTCTGAAAAGTCTACTACTTTAGTCATACAAATTAAATACAATGTATGAAAAAAGATATTCCAAATATATCATATTGTAATTTTTATCTTCCATCCTATATATAAGTTCTATATAATAGCTCTTGTATCTAATAAAGAGCTCTTATTTAAATAATAGTTTTTAATGTTGTATACTTTTGAAGAAAATTATAAAGATATAACAGGAACTATTCCTAATAAATTTTAAGAATATATCTTTCTCTAAAAATACATCGAAAAATGTATTTTAATTTCAAATTTTTAATTTTAATATCATTTAATTATAAATTTTATTTTTCTTTAACATAATTCATAAGATACTATATATTTTAAATGTGATTCAGAAAGCTGTAAAACACTATATTTAAAAAAAATTGCAGAAATTGTGTCAAAAATTTTAATGATTTATGGGATTGCGTTGCGCAAATTCAGCACACATGCAGGCATCATAAAAGCCTTGTAACCCCGTAACCTCGAACTGCTGGACACATATTCAATAGCGTTGGCAAATGTTCAGTGTTCCCATTTCCTGAAAGAATTGCCGACTTTCTTACGAATTCCACGATTCTATTCTAGTCTATGATATGTTGTTTGCCTCTGCCGTGTGCTCTAAATTTACGTAATAACTATTTGCTTAAAAATGAATACAATATAAAATTATCATTGTCGAAACTTTCTAACAGACTTGCATTTATACTGTTATGCTTTTATCATATATTTTAATAAACAGAGTTAAATTAACAATGGAAGTAATTTCATGAAATAATTTGTGAATGGCAAAATTTCATTTAAATCCTATAGATATGTTTCACGTATTAATCGATATATAGAATAATATGAATAAATCAAATATATAAATTTAATAATAATTTTTATTATATTAATTATCAAACATTAATTTTTTTCAACACTAGGCAACTTTTAGCACATTTTTTAATAGATGAAATTAAATTATAAACTTATAGAAAGTATAAAAAAGTATCATTTTGATGATACATCAAAACGCCTGATTTTTCCACTTTCTAGAATGATTGTATAGTAATCACGATAATTCTCGTTTGTATTACGCTAATTAAATATACGCATGTACGTTGCATTGTGAATGTTTTGCACGTATTAGACGAAATTGCGGCATCATACTGATTAACGATCAATTCTTGCCTAGAAATGACAAAAATTTCAAGTTTCAAGGACTCACATTAGAGACCTCATATAATGTAATATAATTTAGTCAAATTACAACGACATATTTGCATTGATGCAAATATTTCACGAAGTTTAATAAGTACAATATTGAAATATATGAAATAATTAATTATGTATATATTAACGGAATGTAATTTGAAAGCTTGTTTTGGCACTCTAAATAATTTTGGGTTTAGATATAAGGGTCCATAAATTGCCTAAAGATTCGTTCAATGATGTATTGCGAAATTGACCTATAAACAACCGTTCTGTTTCTCTTTTCAAGGTTCGGGAGTATGAGGGCCATCTGCTTGCTCCTCGTCGGCATCGTCGTCGTGAATGCCCAGCGTCGTTTAGCCTTGCCCGATCCGCGAAGCTGCGCGAATCGTAAGTATTTTCAGTGACATTTTGCAATCTTTTCTTTCCTTAGTTAACACTTGCATAACTAATTAAGTGGAAAATAATGAGAAACCAGAGTTAAGAAAGAGAGAAGAAAAGAGAGACGAAAAGAGAAGTGTTCTTCATTCATTAAAATGCGTTCGTTGTGTCGTAACTCACGGCGGCTTCATGCAAATTAATTCACGTTAAGCCGTCAAACGATTGCAGTACATAGGATGTGTGTCCCATTTATCTTCTGTAACGTATGATTTCATGGTACAAAATCATTTAGCAATACTTAAATTCTTTAGTTGTATAAAAACGCGTGCAGCATTTTTCTAAGTCTATGTATATTTCTCTGAATTGTGTAATAAGTTTGAACATGTCAAACGAAGCTGTCATTAATCGATTAACTGAGATACAATCACAACTAACTATATTATTGATGATGCATTAACATGCCCATTCTTCAGGTGTCCGTCACTCGTCATATAGAGATGGCAGAGGAGTCCTTCATTCGTATTTCTTCAGCTGGGAACATCAGCCGACCAGAAATCTCGAGGTAGACTGGCTGGATGCTCGTAATATTTGCCGTCGTCATTGCATGGACGCCGTGTCCCTGGAGACTCCTCAGGAAAACGAATTCGTCAAGCAGAGACTAGCGAGAGGTGAGCTGCCGCGATGACAAATTCAAAATTGTTGTTGCTTCTTTACCAATCCATATATATATGTATATATGTCTTATAAAAATTTATTATCTTATATAATCTCTTGCGAATAATCAAGAGAGGCTAATTCGTGAATTGGTGATTTCGACAAGAATTGATAAATGGTAGATTTAATCGTTGGTTATTCGAGTGATGCAATCTAGTCGGTAGCCAAACATCTCATCAAGCTTTAGCTAACAAATCCTTTCTGATGACTCTTAACGCTTTCTTAATAAAAATGTTAAGGTATGAAGAGTTATCAAGTCCTAAGTAAAAATGTATAACCTTTTGCAAGACTTTCGTGAAAATGAATAATAAATTGCTCTTCACATACATAACTTAATGCATTAAGGTCTGAAAATATTTTTATCCAAACTTTTTCCATTTGTATTTGGGCCGAATGTTGTAAGATAATAATTTTAAAATTGTAAAAATATCACATTCTCTCTATAGCACAAATTATATATTAAATCTTGTGACATTAAGTTGACAGATTAAATTCAATTCGTCGGCAACTTGTTAAATATTCTTTCAATTACAAATTTAAAATAATGCGCGATTATTCCTAGCTACGTAAAGTATTTTTATTAAAAAAAGAATTGTTTAATCAATTTTTATACATTTATTCATGGAGATAAGTTTTATAATAGGTCAGACAAACGTTAAACCGTTAAATTGTAAAAGTCAAGAAGTAATTAATTGATCATAATCGCGATCTGATTGAAGATTGCGATCATGATCAATTAATTACTTCTTGACTTTTACAATTTAGCGATTGTGAAAAAAATATTTTCTTAACATAAACTATGTCAATGTCACATTAATATTCTTGCAACTTCCGTATAAAAGTACATATCGATTACATAATTTTTTTTAGTGTTTCTATTTCTTGTTTGCTAAACGAAAATTATCATACATAATTCATGTAAAATCCGAGTCCGTTTAAATTATTCGATGAAAGATTCGAAAGGCGTCATAGAATCTCATTAACGTTCATTTCGCGTTTCTTTGTCCGCGGGGAAATTTTCACGCTGCAACTTTGTCGAGCCTACAATACAATAAAGAAGGCTCTCGAGCGCGTGAGAAGTAAAAGCGGAATCTTCTTCGGTCAATTTGCGGGCGTAAATGATTGCACAATGTTGCTGCGCGATTAAATTTCACGAAGGGGTAGCGAAAACGAGCGAGATTAGGCGCGTTCGCAGATTCAGTGGCGTAACGTTTCGTGCCTTGGCTCGTCATTTCTCTTCGTCATTTCTCTACGACCCGTAGTTTGAACCTTCTTGATGAAGAATTTCAGTTGCAATTTAGACTCGCGGGTGACTAGATGCTCGTATACCCCTATACTCGGTTAAGCGGGTCACTTTCACTTGACCGTTGATGCTCTGTGTAGAAAAAGGAGCCGACGTGAAAGGGACTTTATGTAGGTACTTGTAATTCAACGATTTGTCTTCTTGAGCCTGGAATCTCGTTAATCTTCAACGATAACGAAACATTCGTTGTCTTTAAAATGACTATCGATTAACTTTGATTCGAGCAATCGATATTGAAATACAGAATATAATGATGATTTAATATATTTCGGTCTCTCTAATAAATAATATATAATATAATTGATTATTTTAAAGCAGGATTTTTGTGATTTTTATCGTTTTAAAGAGATACATTTTGCATGACAACACATATGCACACACAAAAGCAACGATGTTAGATGAATTTGTATTAAATAGTCATTAAAGTCCATATTTTATATATAATCTTTATTACTCGAGATTTATTATTTGAAATTTTATGCCTTTCTTTTGTTAGATAATTTATGTATATTAATATTCTTCTCTCTCTCCCTCCATGTAATATATGTTAGATAATTGATGTATATCAATATTCTTCTCTCTCTCTCCCCTATAATAATAAGAGTTTTCGCCACGATTTCACACGTTTTCACTTAATATATTATCTTACACACTTTCTTTTCTCTCGAACTTTCAAGTAATTCTAATTAATTTGTCGTTAAAACAATAATTATTATACATCCATGTATCTATTTTAATTTGTTCTTCGAGTATTTTCAGTTATCAATGTTGATGAATCAATTGATATTGATTAATCAAGACTGTTTAAATTAATGCAGATTTTTAGAAAAAAATTTTAGCTGTACAACTATATTTTCCTTCTTTTTATCTATATTATAAATAATCAAATTGTTTCTCTAAAGGAAGATAAATTAATAATTATTAGCAAAATAATAAAGATTATTAATTGAGCTATAATTAATAATGAACAAGCATCGTGCTTTGTAATAAACCTAGATTGTTGGATGCGAGTTAATTATTCAGTAGATGAAAAATTCCGCATGCCACGGAAAACCGCATTAAAAATATAATAAGGAAGATAAAATAAGGAAATGTCGGGCGAAACTAAATTTAAGGCATCTGACAGGTCAACAGACGATGGCGGATGCTTCCGAAGAATTTAATGGCGCGCTGCGATTTATTTAATTAATTTGCGTGCATTTAATTAATCTGCGAGATCAAATGCACAGACTTCAAAAAGTAATTTAAATTTTCAAAATTTATACAAGTCTATCTTTATGTAAATAATTCATTGAAAGATGTTCATTTTGAGTCCAAAACATGCTCGGTGCATACAGATTCGCAAAATCTTTCAGCAATTTCAGCAAAAAAGTATTTTGTATAAAATTAAATAATAAAATATGGCCATCGCAAGGTAATTACATAGCACGTATAATTATACGATAGAGATACGTCAGTTAATAATTTCTTTTAATTATAAATCGAGTTGCAATTCGAATATATGATATTTTATACGAGGTTGTTTGAGTTATTGTTCAGATAATAAGATGTTATTTATGATTGAGATACATGGTATTATTAAGAAAATGATAGTTATTTATCCATGCTTCCTTGAGCCTCATTTAGTATTTATGAATACCTGCCATCATATTTTGGATAATTTTATATCTAGGAAAAGAAGATTCTATTGCGGTCACAAGTGACGCGGATATCCGGGTGAAAATAATCAATGCATCAAGAGTGACAGAGATTGAAAAGTTGTCAACGTATAATTTATAACTGACATCGGTTGCTGATTCAGATAATAAGAAATTTAATTATTTGTTTCCACAGATTTATATAAAAAATTCGCGTTTCCTTGCTCTTGTTCCTAGCAAATATTTCTTCACATTAATTTTTAGTCACACATTAATTGCATGAATTATAAACTTTTAAATTTGTGTTATATTCATACTATCGTTTAATTAGGAAATGTGAGATACATTTGGACGTCGGGCCGCAAGTGCAACTTCAATGGCTGCGACCGAGCAGATCTTCAGCCCCAGAACGTTAACGGATGGTTCTGGTCTGGATCTGGCGCCAAGATCGGACCGACGAGCCAGCGTAACACTGGAGACTGGAGCAACACTGGAGGATATGGTCAACCACAACCAGACAACCGCGAAGCTGCACAGGTATGATATTCTTTTTACTTTCAAAATTTTTATATTTTTAATATTTAGATAATTGCATGTATAATTCCACGTAAACAAGGACCTTTATGTATATTTCAACATATATTTTACAAATGGATTGCTTAAGTTATAAAAAATATTTAATATAAAGAAGGAATTACCGCGAAGATTTTGCCAAGTGGAGCAATTGGCTCCAACATGCTTTCGTAACGCACGTTTGGCGCCGGCCTCGTGAAACTCTGATTTATATTCTTGTAGGATAGAGAGAGTGAAAGTGTTTTGGCATCTTCGGCGATGCTCTTATATGTGACCTTTAATATTTTTAAAGGCTCTCGTTATGAACTAGATGTAGAAACTTACATGTACTTACTGATCTTTCAACATTGAGAATTAAAAAAAAAATGAAATTCATGTATCTTTTTTTTTAACGCTTTTTTTAACGCTAATATGTTTTAAAAGCTTTTGCTATTTCAATAATATTGTGTAAAAGAAAAAATATATTAGTTTTTTAAGATAAAAATTGATCTATTTTATATCAAATTTCTCATTTATGAATTAAAAATTAAAACATGTAAAATTAATATTTTTCCAATAATCGGATAAAAACCACTATTATATTTGGAAATTAGAAATATTATATTCTAATTAAAAGAAAATTTGAACAGAATGTATATTTTTGAACTATTTTTTTTCAATCAAATAACATATCTAACTTTCCAAGAATAAAAACTTATTCAATTATAACATTTTTTTCCGAAGTCAGTCTAATCGTAAGGTTTATTATAATTATCTCGTTTACTTACAGGGCAACGACGAGTCTTGTTTGTCTATATTAAACAACTTTTACAACGATGGCATCAAGTGGCACGACGTGGCATGTCACCACATCAAACCTTTCGTATGCGAGGACAGCGACGAGCTTCTCAACTTCGTCGCATCCCGGAACCCAGGTATCCGTTTGTGAAAGGCGACCGCGGCGAACCCTGGCAAATAAATTATCGTCGTAAATGGAAGAATTGCGAGGACAAACCAGAGAGAGAGAGAGGACAAAGGCAACGATATTTCAAGCGTATCGTGTACTCTTTCTCTTTCTCTCTCTTTTTCGTCGTACCTTTATTTATAATTACACTAACCAATATATATGTATATTAATAGACAGAGTGTACATATATATATTTTTTATATTTTATATACAGTATATATATGTGCCCTCTTTAATACAAATCGCGATTGTAGTGTAGTATCGCGCGATTCACCGTAAGCGAAACGATTGGTAAGTCGAAGTAGGCGATAAATGCATTTAGTATTATACACACGTAATTCTTGTATTTTTTGTATTCATTTCGTATGAGAATAAATGCATTTTCATTTGTATTTAAGATCCATTGTTTCTCTCCTGTACCTATATATGCTTTTTCTTTTTTTACTTTTTATAAAGACACTTTTTATTAGTCAGATTTTGCAAACCATTATCTTCAGTATATGCAACAGAATATATCAATCAATTAATAAAAGAATACATATAATTATAGTTTATTATTATTAATTTGATAAATATAAAAATTCATTTTTATGAGGAGGAGGAGAGTTTATACATATAAAATGCGATTTTTTCAAATCATATATTTTAATTAATTGTTTCGTTTTGCATATTGTACGAGAGAAGTTAAATAAAATGATCAATACACTCAAAAAGAGAACTTATTGAATCAATCATAAATACCTATGAAAGGATATCATTTGCTCTATCTGTTTTAGAAAATATTCCATTGATTAGAAAATCCTATAATTGATCATGATTGGATAGAGGAGTACGCCTTTTCAAAAATTGTAAATAAAACAGAAAGACATGACAAATGGATGTTGCTATTTGCTCATTGAATCAAAACAAATCTGTATATGTCCGCGGTCATAATCATATCATCTCTCATGCAGAGTAGACTGTGAGTTAAACTAATCGTGAATAGAAAAGTCTTCTATCATTTTGCGATTTCCACAATAATTAATTTGTTTTCGTGTGAATATTAGTGTGCGGGAAAAAGAGATAGTGGTATACGTCACGTGGTGGTTGCTAAAATGCTAGAATTAAGCACAATTTATTTGTTATTAGGCATTTTCTCAACAAGAGACAATTGACACAATGAATCACTTCATCTTTGTTGGTTGCCGAATGTAAAGAATGAAATCATTCACTTTATACTGCGATCTGTGTGTCATCATCTTGCTGAAAAATGTTCATTGTTGTCATTTGCCCCTCCTAAATTCCCTCCTCCGCTTCGCTTACGCGCCTCGTAATTAGTGACCACATGACAGTAGTGGGCTGTCTCTCTTCGCCACGTGTTGTACTCGAGTCGCAAAATATAGAACTTTTCTATTCAGTTTCCATTTTAATTACGTGCACACGAGAAATACGGTTATTATCTGTTTTTAATTATTATCGAGATTTCTCGGCTGTTTTTAATTATTATCGAGATTTCTTTCCTGATGAACATTATAACTTGTAACTGTTGAAAATCTAATTAATCTAATTAATCGGCAGTGCATTTGAAACTTTTTTTTAATTGTAATACAATATTTTTTTCAATCTTTTATTTCTTTTAAAAGAAGACTTGAGAATTTGCTATGAACTTTTATAGGTTATCTTCTAGTATACTTCTCTTTATGCTTCAAAATATATTTCAAAATTATTTATTTGTGATATTTATTTGTGATTCTAATCTCTAGGATGCATCAAAAAATGCCAGACATCGAGAAATCTGCATCTGGATATAATGGAAAGGTAAGATAAAATGTGATAGATATGCAATTAATAATAGAAAAAATATAACAACAAAAACATCTATTATTAATGAAATGATCTAAATATAAAAGGATGTTTGAATTTTTCAAACAGGAAACATCGCAAGCTTCCTTACTTCAGAGTAATAGGTCTCTTCAAATACAAAAAATCATTAAATTTCTCAATCATCAAGGTAATATTTTTAAACACTTAACAATTTAGAGCGATAATATCTTAATGAATAAAATCATTCATCTGTATGTTAAATCTATATTTCAACTTATATATATATACTTTCAGACGTTATTCCTACTACAGTTACACCAATTAAAGTAACAACTATAAAGAGTCCATATATTATGAGAGCTTATGAAATTCAGCAACATACAGACAAACTTGATAAAATCCAAAGGAAATTGTTGAGCTTTATGAAAACTGAAGAGTATTTGAGAGGGGAATATAATGTACAAAATCCCAAAGTTGGTGATGTAAGTTTTATGTATACTCCTTGTTATATATACTCTTTATTTTATTTATACTGTTTGTATTTCCCAGCAAACACAGAATATTACAGCAATATTGCGGCAATATTACAACATTGCAGCAATATTCTGTGTTTACTGGGTTTAAATTATAATTAATTACTATTGAATGACTAATATCTTACATAATTAATTATTTTAAATTAATTGCATTATACTTAGTGTAAAAAATTATCTTTTTTATTATATTTACTTGCAGGTAGTTATTGTACAAAGTAGTAAATGTACAGTTGAAGTGGAGTTACCATCATTTGTCTGCCGCGGTTTAATACAATATATTAAAAAGCAAGATGAGATATACTATATTCTTTTAGTGGATCATGGTATTAGCATAAAATTAACTAGGGATAAATTTTGTATAGTGCCACAAAATTTTATTCCTGAAAAATATTTAACGAAAGCAGTTGGTGTATTCAATATTATGCCGATTCGTATGAAAAAGAATGTTTCTAATGGTTCTAATAATTCAAAGTCTACACCCATGTAAGGTTTATTATTTTTAATATTTTGCATTTAATAAAATGTTATTAAAAAATAGCTATTATTTAAAGTGTTGTAGACGAATGGAGCGAAGAAGCAATTCAATTTGCCGAAGATTTGTTATATGAATCTAAAATCATATACTTTGACCATTTACACACAGATGAGAAAAATGGAAGAGAATATGGAGAATTTTATCTTACCATTAATAACATAGATATCATATCATTAAGCGAAGCTCTAATTATTAATTATTATGCAACTTATATAGAAGGAGGTATATTATAGGACATATTGATGTTATTAGATTATAATATTCCTATATTTAAAAATTTGTTAAAATATAATATTTAATAATATTCAAGTAACATGCAATGTCTCATGGTGTGATTATTACAGATTTGTTACAGCTTGTTGACAATTATTCTCAATCTAAGGAAAACATAAAAGATCACATACAAATAAAATTTTCATGTAATGACAAAATTGAGAAAAATAGAAATAACGCAAGACAAGTTAATCACGCACAAGTTAATTATTCCCTTAAGGAATTCTGTCTAAAGTAAGAATGTTTTTTTTTTTTTTAAATTTATAAAGATTTTATTTTATAAGCTTCATTTTTTTCTTATAAGTGAGAAAGTCTTGATACAGAGTACAATGAATTGTGGGATTTTAAATGATGTTAGAGATCTCGGATATCCACACGGAATACATAAGGTAATATATAATCAAATGGTATTTAGTAATTGATAATTAAGAATATACTGAATCTAGTTGAATATTAATTGATTAAGAGCATACTGAGAGAGAATATATATGTAAATTATTATATTTTCTAATATCTCTGTTTTAGGGTTGGAATGAATATTACAAATCTTCGAGACCAAGAAAGCTCCAGTCTTATATATGGCCAGCTATAAATAATGGTTTAAACGTTGTTGCTATTGGACCATCACAATGTGGTAAAACTAGTGGATGTGTAATGAGTGTTTGTGGTCTAGTAGCCATGCGTCAAAAGGTAACAATCTTTGTTATTTAATATGTAAAAATGATGAATAATGTTAAAATTTAACTTTCTGAATTGTCTTATAATGTGTAATATGAACAAAATATATGTGTTAAATTTATATTATATTAGGAAGTATCACACAGCGCAACTCGTCCACTAGCACTAATTTTGTGCTCTTCATCTTCTGAAGTAATCAATATTCACTCATTGTGTATGTCATTTTTGCGTTCTTTTGATAATGTAAAATCTGTAGCTGCATTTAATGGCAAGACATCTATATCAATAGCGGTAAATTAATTTATATACATTTTTACAAAAAACATTTAGTAAACATCAAAAAATGATGCATGAAAACTAATCATTTTTGCTTTTTTCAGGCATCTATATATAAAGGTTGTCAAATCTTAATAGCCACACCGCAATATCTAGCTCGATTCTTGAATGAAAATAAAAATTTACTGTCATTTGACAGGCTTTCTTATTTAGTTCTTGACAATGTTGACGTAATTTTAGATAAATATTATAACTCGGTAAGAAAGAGAGAGAGAAAGTTGCATTATATTAGCATTACTTATTTAAAAAAACTAATAAGACATTTTAATAGATAGGAGAATTATTCAAGAAACATAAAGTAATTGAAAACCGTGAGTCACAAGGTGACAATAGACCAACACTACAAATAATTATATCAGCAACAACCTGGACACCCGAGATTAAGAAATTTATATGTCTAGCAACGTACAAACCATATATATGTATCACATCATTTTTAGAAGCTGTTATTTTTAAATCTATACGTCCACAATTGTATATTTTGAATTCTATACAAAAAAACCAAAAAATATCAGGTAAGTAAAGTTGTATATTGCTATGTAAAATTGATATTTATGTGAACATTTGATTATATTAACATTGATTAACTGTAGCATAAAAAATATTCTTTTCTTTTTAATATTTAGATATACTAAAGGATGATTATACTACGATGAGAACAATGATAATATGTATAAATGCTAAAGAAGCCGAAGAATTAAATACCTTTTTATTTTCAACAAAGAAAACTCTGCTAATTCACGAAGAGATGAAGTTGTCTGATATACGAGGTATAAGAGTGACATTTTAATTATATTCAGAATGTTATTTTATTATTATATCTAAATTTACTAATCATTAATTTAATTAGTATATTCTTAATCTTAATTATTAATCTTCCCTTAATTTGCAAAATTTGCGTGTATTTTGCATGTACCTTATTTTACAGCTTTACAAGACAGTTGGAAAGCATGTGTACGTAGCTTGTATCCAGTACTCATATGTACTGATGCAGTTCTATCTGATCTCAATTTTACTAATATTCAATGGCTGATACATCATTCTGTACAGTTAAAATTCAAAAATCTATTCAATTATAGGTTTTCTGTACTTTTAGATCATTTGACACAGGTAATTATTAAAAAATATATCTAAAATTAAAAATAAAATTTTTTATTGTGTGTGTGTGTTCTTAATTTATTATGAACTCATTATTTAATATTTATATTTAAATACGCGCGCGTGCGCGCGTGTGTGTGTTATATATATTCCACAATTAATACATTTTGATAACTTTCAGGATGCCAAAAAATGTAAATTTAGTATATTCATCGATGAAAGAAATGATCAACAATTTGTAAGCATAATAAAATTAATGGAACGAATGAAAGTTGTAATATCTCGAGACTTATTGAAAAGTTGTGATGTAAGTTAACAAAATGTTACAAAATGTTAAAATATCAATTTTGTCATAATTTGTTATAAAATATAATTTTAGCGAATAGCAGTTACACTAGAAAAAGACAAAAAGGAATATGCTATATGTGATAATGTGAAATCATTTGGTTTCTGTCATGAGAAAAATGTTTGTGTATTCAGGCATTACATGCTTCCTAAAATCGATGCACCAATGACAAACATACAGATGTAAGTAATTTTCTATTATCTTATTGTATTGATATATATATCCAATGTTCTACTAAATCTCATTCTCACAGAAATGATAAAGTGATATTGATGGTGATGTATATTCACGATACGACGCATTTCTCTGCAAGAATAATCGAATACATGTCATGTACAAATGAGTCAAAAAAAATAAAATTTTGTGACACAGAGTATATGAAAACTGCACTTAAAATACAAGAGTATTATCAAAACGTTGAAAACAGGTATATGTGATATTCGAAGATTTTTTTTTAGAATTATGTTATCTACCTCTCTACATTCTTTGAGTTTATTTATGATTTATTTTCTTAATAAATAATTATTATAGAAAAGTATGTATCTCGACGAACGTGGGTGATATCTGTGCTTTAGAGGAATCTATGGACACATTTAAACGAGTACAAATTGTGCGTATCAGATATGATAAAGATAGTTCTGAAGACAAAGTAAAATTTGTAGATGTGAGATGCATCGATAGTGGTGTTATACATGAAGCCATTGATGTAAGATCATTAGCTTATATTCATTTATAAAGCTTGTATTCAAATTACACATTAAGTATTTAACTAAATAATATTTCACTAAAATTGTACCTTTTGTATATGTGTAATAGATTCAAAGATAATTTACAAGAATCATGTTTAATGTTAAATACAAAATGTAAATGTAAATGGATTTGTAAGCATATTCTTCTTATAATTTTTATATTGTTTTGTTTTATAAACTTATCGTTTTTAATATTTCAGGTATACAAATTAATGCATATTCCTGAGGAATTATCAAATCTTCCAACACATATTGTAGAAATATTTTTAGCTGGTGTAGCACCACCTGATAAGGAATACATGTGGAATCATTGTGCTAATGAAGCAGTTCATAAATGGTTCTCAAAAAATTTTGATGAAAGGTCTTATATTATTGGAAAAGTAAGTTTTTACACAATTGTAAGTGAAAAATATACAATGGAAAGAAGAAAATATCATTCAATTATTCACAGGTTTGCCTTCACCTTGGAAATACAATTTGGTTAGATGATCTTCGAATTGGAACAAAATTACTTGGTTATTCCGACATGATAGGATCTTCTTTGAAAAAGGAACTTCTTGCTAAAAATTTTGCAATTTTGAATGACAATCACATGCCAGATCTGTTCAAACTTTGCAAAAACAGTGATATGATAGATATCAATGGACATGACATTAATGTAATGTGCAAATAAAGTACCTTTTTTCTATCATTTATATTTTTACGAGGCAACTTTGCTTAAGAAAATTAACTTTTATATTTTCTTTCTAATATTTTAACATTTGTAAGAAAAAATTGATGTAGTATAACACTTTAATTTTTTTATTTTGTACTTTTGATACTCCTGTTAACTTTTTTTGAGACTAATATACTTCATGAATCATATGAATAAAAGTGAAGTCTTTTAATTTTTTAACAAAATTTGTTTTAATCTTTAACTATTGAAAATCAATATCGGAACGTAAGAAATAAGAGTATAAATAATGCAAAAATGCAAGTATACATACACAATATCACTTTATTTGAAACGATAAGATTTGTATTAATAACATAATACAACTGATCAGGTTCTTGCTGTCTCATTCTTTCATTTGTTATTAAACTTGTAAATAAATTCGTCTAAAATGTCGGAATATATTTCTATTTTTATAATACATGTATTACATATAAAAAATAATCGTTAATATATTAAAAGAATAAATTCATTTAATATTAGTTTTCGTGCAAATTAATTTTTCAGATTTTTTATTTTCAATTTTTTGTAATTTATACTTAATATAGTCTTCCAAATCTTTTTGAGAATTCATTAGTATAGTAATTTTTGGTAACAGACCGACATTTGTTAACATTTCAATTCGTTTGCGTAGAGTTTCCGTATTAAAATAAAAAATTCGTGACTGACGTAATATTTCTTTACCCGTTATGCCATTTTGTTGCAATAAATCAATCAATTGATCTATTTTTGATACATTTACTCGCAAAATGGTCGGTCGCTTTGCAATTGCATCTTGGAGAAGTTTTTCATCAACGTTTAATTTATCAATTAAATATCCTTTAACATCTTTATGCTCTTGCAATATTTCTCGCTGTAGATAATTCTTCTTAATATATCTACAAAAAATAAATTGAAAACACAGTCAATATATTTTATAACTATTTTTCAAACTGTATATAGATGTTCTATTATTACTATCATTTATGATTTTTATGTCACTGTTACGTACCGCTCAAAAGATTGCTCAGCTAGCATTAGCACAGTAAGTCTTGGAACAAGACCTTCTTTCTTCAAAATTTTAATTCGTTTCTGTATAGTTTCGATGTTGAAGTAAAAGATTCGTATATGTTGTAATATCTCATTGCTAGTAATTTTATTTTGATGTAATATGTTAATTAATTTATTCAATTTCATTAAATTCACTTGTAAAATACTTGGCGATTTTGTGATCGCGAGATTGAGCGTTTCTTCATCGACCTTTAATTTATTTATCAAAAATTCATTAACACTTGAATAATTCGTCATTAAACTGCGTTTTACATTATTCCTTTGAATGGCTCTGTGCACATGAAGAAATCAATGACAATTTACATTTTATTTTATGCGCATGACAAAGTTTGTGTAAACACACACTTCTTTTCCATTTTACATTTAAAGAATATAAAATATAAGTTAAGAAAATTGCAGAAATAATAAGGAGTAGTGAAGATAATAGTTTAAACTTAATTTTGACAAAGTCAGCAATGAAATATGCAGTATTAATTTCAAAAACACAAGACAGCAATAATACAAAAAGTAAAATAAAAAGATATTCCTTCAAAACCTACTTTGTTATAATTCTAAGTGGACATCTTATAGCCCATGTTTTTACTTCTAAATCTTGTGTATCTTTGTACAATTCACATCTGTGACGTATATGATTTTCACTGTATCGAAGTACCCATAAATCTTTCAATATATATTTGTTATTTACATCATATTCTGTTAAAATAAAAATTTTATTTAGTTTTTCAAATGTTTATAGATATCTATTCTATTCTATTCTATGATTTAATTTATATAATTTCCTTACCATGTAATATGTTCAACTTCTTGTCTATGTAGGAAATTGGAATTTTTAATAAGAAAGTATGTCGTATTGTTAACTTACATAATTTTTCTATGCTACACTAGGAAAAGAAATATTATCTTAGAATTATTCTTATTATGTGCATAGAATCATACATCATGTAATATTTTATTGAAACAATATTTTTATATCATATAACTTTTATTTTTAATTTTCCATATTTTAAATATAAATTTTCTTATGAGAAAAAAATATTTTTTATAAAATGTCCTACTTCATATAATACAATAATTTACTAACAAGTGCAATTTATACATCAATATCATTTAATAACTACACTAAATTTATACCTCTAATCTATGAGCAAGATGTTCAATTTTATTGTATGTATAAGAACCCATATCATTTTGCGTATGAAATACAAAAGTTGTTAATTCTTCTTGAGTCAAACGTAACCATGGTATAAGTTGATCATTGTTCATATTAAGTATTTTAATACAATTGAGTTTATCTTTGAGTCTACTATTTTCATGCGCCAATAACCAGGCATTTTTCATAATGGTATTTTTCTGTACACCAGCATCTATAAGATTATAATAATTGTGCAAAACATTAGCTCTGGTTCTTTTTTTAAGTTGTGGATTGTCTGCAAGAATTTTATTGGTCTCAGATGATGTTGTATCTAATATTTCTTTGAGAGTTTGTACCATAATTCGCACGATAGGTTTGTAATTTGTCAGGTATGCATCATAATTTGATACTTCGCACGTATGATCTAACACATCCACATCTTTGTACAGTAGTTTGTTTTGTGAAACAAACCTAACGAGCGAATATTCTTTTAAATGCAATGGCAAAGCAAGCCTCAAAAGTTGCTGCTGAGACTGATCTGCTTTAAACAGATTTATGATCATTCGTTGTACAATTTGTTTGACCATATTTTTTTTTTATGATAAATTTTATGTAATTTTCAAATCTCTCATTTCATAAAAACTTAATTTGTATTCAATATATTTCTACACACAAGAAATATGATAGAATTTTTATTTCGCACAATTATTGTTCTTATTCTTCTTGTTATCCATTATAACCTATACTACGTACTACGTACTTGTTTGAAGTCGATAAAAACAATATTTACAACTGTTCCATCTGTTGAACTGTCATGTAACAACTAGATCAAAACAATTCATTACCGACAGTACATTACGTCAATGAACTTTGTTTTCTACGTATGTTAATTCAATTTTTTTTAAAGAAATTAATTTTGATAACAACAGTATAATAAATATTGGGAAGAAAATACATTTTTTTTTAAACAAACAAATATTTTTTATATAATTCCATAAAATCAAAATTTGTTAAAAAATTTTTTAATTATTATTGTATAAATATTTTTAACTTATTCTATATTTTAATTTTTCTAATTTTAAATTATTTTATTTATAGTATTTATCACATATACAGTAATATTATTAAAACGAAATTCTCCACTTTAACATCGAATTATTTATAAGATATCTGACCATATCCATAGAATGAAACACTAATAAATTGTTCTTGTTTATTAAAACAATCATAAAGAACAAACAATTCTCATAAATTAAATTCTATTCTTTAAATATTTCTCCATAATTAGAAAACAAATCACTTAAGAGATTAGCCGCAAATCTTACGCAAATTATATTACGTGCTCGCTAGCTTGGCACCGGCTCAGCTGAGTGGTCGTAACACCGATAAGCCGATGTCAAACAACGTGTCATGGCCATGTGTGCTTGAGCGTTTCAACGTGTATCCTTTCTCCTACGCCTGTCAGTTGGAAAACGGCGGTGTCGCGTGTCGCTTTAAAAGTTTCGCGGTCGGAAAATATATACAAATGCGAGAAAATTCACGATAAAAACTTGTTAGTTTTAACGAGGAAACAAAGAAATCGATGTAAATTTCAGACTGAGATACCACGAGTCATAAACCAACAAAAATAGTATCACTCATTGTTTATTTAAAAAAGAAATAATCGAAAAATATAATCAATAAAGTTGTAAAAGACTCGACATTATTTTAAAAAATTAATTCAAAATTCATGGAAATTCTATCATTGAAGTTGACCGGAAGTTTTGTTACATCATACGTACGCAATGTGAATTTACGAATCAGGCAGTGTTATGAAATCATTCGCAATTTGTATAATTACCGTAGTAATTATTATCTTACAAAAGTGCTATTGTCTGCGGACAGACAACGCTATTATTACCGTACTACTATGTCGACATGTTGCAGCGCTATTTTATATTAGTTTATTCATGTAATTTTATAAAATTAGTTTAAAAATATTATTTATCACACACAACACATACGCAAGACATTTTTAATTATTCACATATTATAAATAATTAAAATAAAAAATTTTGACAGTTTATCAAGTATGAATAAGTTGTTTTCTTCATTAAATTTTACACGTGATTTTACATTCTTTCGCGATAACGAATACCAAATTCAATTAAAGATAAAAAATACAATAGATAAAGTATTGATAAATGTACGTTAACACAATGTGTATAGTTTCAAAGCTGGATGATCTTTTCAATATGCGGAGGCCGCGAATATTATTTTATTACTGCAACATGGACTAGTATGCGAACAGTATAGAAAGATTGCGCTTTCACTGAGAATCGCGAGAGTGATACATACTATGAATCAGTTCGCATCATCTACAGCCAGATACGCGCGGTTGCCTTTTGCTTCGTGAAAGTTTTTAGCTCAATAGATTTCGTGAAATTTCGTATAAGTGTGAATTAAAAAGACTTCCTCTCGAATCTGTTTACATAATAGAATATATTTTTTACATATTTTTTAATGTTATTTTTCATGTTATTTTTTGAAAATTAGAAGAATTTTTATCTCTATCTCGTCTCCAACATTTTTGCTATTTTATCAATTATATTATAAATTTACTTGTACGTATAAAACTTCGTAGGATAATATGAAATAAAGTTGGCGATTTCAACGCGTGTTCTCCATGAATGGACAAGAAATGTGAGGATGAGCTTCCATCAAATTATCGAAGAAATAGAACAATTAATTAATGTTCGATCAAAATATTAATCTACATGTATTGTTCAGTGAATCAATACACATATATATTTGTATATTTCTTGGACGAAGAACTTGGGTATTGTTTATGCATAGTGACAGATAAGATAGTTTGTTGGTGACTGTTAAAACCGACTTGAAAAAAACGTGATATTTAAATGTACATTTTTAAAATGCTTAACATAGTTTCTGTTGATAATTCATTATCTTCGTACGTTCAGATATGCATTTTGTGTACGTATGTGTATGAACATTTTAACGAGAAAAAAATAATACGCATTTCACGCATATAGGATGAGTTCGTAAATGACATCTTTCACATATATTTTTCAGATAAATATTATTTATTCTTTTACTCATTCCTAGAATGATAAGAAAATTGTGTAATAAGTTTAAATTATATCCTAGAACTCTAAAACTGGATTTATACTGGGTTTTAGAGTTCTATGACGTCATAATGTAGAAAATTGGAGTGTAATCAAACATAAATTATAAATAGTTATTTAATCAGAAATCTGTGTTACCAGATTAAAACAAGTGTCCGGATGTTCCAAGTGCAATTTAATTGTAATGAATGTATTTATGTGTCTGGGCTTACGTCGAGTTTCCGGCGACTCTATTAGAATCTCGTTTGACGAGTTATTCTGTTCACTTGTCATACATAATAGGCAAAGTGATTGTGTGAAAGATAATGTTACATTATATCGAAACTAAAGACATATTGTTTAAATATCCTAAATAAATTTTTCAAATAAATCAGTCTTCCGGTAATAATAAATAAATAATCTAATAAATAAATAAAATAATATCAAAAGTATCATTTTTTTCGATCATCACATTTAAAGTAATTAATTAAATATTAATATAAATTTAATGATATATTAATGATCAATATTATTATTTTTTCATATCATTAGCTTTACTAATAGCATTGCTGTCTCGAATATATTTTATTTTATTAAATAAATTATTATATGTTACAATATCTTGATATATAATAAAAATTGATATATAATCGAAAGTTCGGAATATTTTCATATTCTTGCCGTGTTGTTAGATTTCTCTCTACGTCATTCATCTCTCTATCATTTTCCATTCGTTGACAGTGTTTGAATAGAACTGCTTCGGCAGCAGAATAACAGCGTCGTGTTTTGCAAATGTGCTCAAATATCAGTGATTGCTAACGAAAGTGAAAATCTCAGCAGAAGAATGGCAGTGAGACATTACGCGCATCAATATACGATGCAATTAACGGACGAGAAGATCATTGATGGAAATGTCAGTAGTGAGAGTAGCGACGAGGAGGATTACTATCCGTTAATCCGCCGTACCATGAATAGCGCAATAGTTAACGCGAATACACGTAAGCGAGGAAAAGAAACTGGCTGGGATGAGACGGTAAGATTACTTTCTCTCTCGTTTTCTTTAAACATTATTACGAGTATAAATCTTTATATTATCTTGCAAAATTTATAATGACAGAAGACTTTAAAGATTTCTTTCTGCTTCTTCTTTTGGATATAGTAATTACGTGTGATTTTTAGTTGTCATATCATCTCATATATTGTAATATGCAAAAAATTATATTTTAAAATTATATGTTCTCTAATTATTAAATATTTAATGTTTATTTATCGTTATATTTTTTTAAATTGTAATTTGATATAGCGTTTATTGATAAGCTCTACTTCGTGAAAAGCAAAGATTATAAATTTTTACGATCTTTAGCACAAACTTTGCAAAACAAAATAATTAAAATTAGATCGCAATATAATAAATCTCAATGTCAATGTTTCAAAATGTATTCTCGACAAATAACCGTGATTTTGATCAATATAGCAGTCTTATATGTATGTGTACGATTAAAAATCAACTGACGCTTGACCCGTAACTTAATCACTCTCTCTCTCTGACACTTAAACTTTAACCTTTGAAAGTGCTGTAATCGATATTTACAACACTTTCTGAAATATAATACTTCCAGAAGTTAGCGACAGGAAAGGTTTCACTGAGAATAATTAAGTAAAAAGAGATGTAATTCATATTTCAGTATGATTCGCACAATATGATGAGGATTAATAGAAATTTCAATAATTTCATGTAATATTGTATGAAATTATAATTCCCAATTCGTGAATTTGTTTTACATGGTTTTATAGTTTATCGTAGTTTGTGACATGTAGGACAACAAATGATGTTAGTAAAATCTGCTTAGAAGCTTATATTTATGGTGATTAAAATCAGGTATTAAAAGATTACACGTTTATACATTAAGGGATTAAAACATCACAGGCGATTTTACATCTCATTAAACGCGCCGAAACATGTCGTTCGACATCTTTCTGCGAATTTCATTAAGAAGATAAATGACATGATTCATAATTACGATGCAGATTCACCGTAAATTAGCATTGAGATTTGCATAAATATGCGCTCATCACGTTGTTGTTATCAACTTTGTTTTTTTTACGTAGACACGAATTTAAAAAAATTTGAGTTTTGACATTTAAAACAAATTCTGATGTCATTTAAATGCTTGGCATATATATTTCGACATATATATATGCGCATTCATTATTTATATTTTACCAATTCAAAGCCTGACAGGAATGCATCTGTGCAAATATTACGACTGTGCGAGTGGTTATAACTTATTTACATAATTATCGCATGAGTAGCACGTACAGTCGTTAAATTGCAGTCGTTTTACAGAAATGATCGGTAAAAATAAAAATCAGCTGTTTTATATAATCATACAAAATATTAAAAAATTGCTTTTTCATAAAAATAATTTATGCTTTTTAATCATTATTATTTAATTATGTTAATATGTAGATAATTATATTAACATGTATAATATCTTGATGCGTTGATAGCAATAAGGAAAAATTGTCATTTTTCCTGATATTTATATAAGAGCATTTGGAAAATTGCTTAACAAAATATCCATCAAGTAAAGTATACCAGATGTTGCATATTTCAAAAACAAGATGTGATTTTGTAAA